AAAGAAATCAAACCATAAATGTCCAGAAATGAAGTTATTTGTAATAATGTGGAATGGCACAGGGAAAAAGTATTGAACACACTTACTGAAATTTATCTAATACTTTGTACAAAAGTCTTTGTTGTCAATGACAGCTTCAAGACGCCTCCTGTATGGAGAAACTAGTGGCATGCATTGCTCAGGTGTGATTTTGGCCCATTCTTCCACAAACAGTCTTCAAATCTTGAAGGTTTCGTGGACCTCTTCTATGAACTCTGATCTTTAGTTCTTTCCATTGATTTTCTGTTGGATTCAGGTCAGGTGATTGGCTGGGCCATTCCAGCAGCTTTAGTTTCTTTCTCTGAAACCAACTGAGAGTTTCCTTGACTTTGTGTTTGGGCTCATTGTCTTGCTGAAATGTCCAGCCACGTTTCATCTTCATCATCCTGGTAGATGGAAGCAGATTTTTATCAAGAATGTCTCTGTACATTTTTCCATTCATCCTTCCTTCAATTATTTGAAGTTTGCCAGTACCATATGCTGAAAAACAGCCCCACACCATGATGTTCCCACCTCCAAACTTCACTGTTGGTATGGTGTTTTTGGGCTGATGTGCAGTGCCATTTGACCTCCAAACATGATGTGTATTCTGGCATCCAAACAGTTCAATGTTGGTCTCATCTGACCAGACTATATTCTCCCAGTATTCCACAGGCTTGTTTAAATGTTGTGCAGCAAACTTTAAAGGAGCTTCAACATGCTGTTTCTTCAGCAGTGGAGTCTTGRGTGGTGAGCGTGCATACAGGCCATGGTGGTTCAGTGCATTACTTATTGTTTTCTTTGAAACAAACGTACCTGCTAATTCCAGGTCTTTCTGAAGCTCTCCACAAGTGGTCCTTGGCTCTTGGACAACTCTTCTGATAATTCTTTTCACTCCTCTGTCAGAAATCTTGTGAGGAGCACCTGGTCGTGGTCGGTTTATGGTGAAATGATGTTCTTTCCACTTCTGAATTATGGCCCCAACAGTGCTCACTGGAACCTTCAGAAGTTTAGACATTCTTCTGTAACCGATGCCATCATTATGCTTTGCAACAATAAGGTTGTGAAGGTCTTGAGAGAGCTCTTTACTTTTACCCATCATCAGATGGTTCTTGTGTGATACCTGGCCATCATTTGGGACTGAACCAGCTGATATTAACTTGCACTGACAAGGGGCAGGCTTGCTTTCAAATTACTGAGAGAGTTCAGCTGGTGTCTTGGCTTTCCATGTCTTTTTACACCTCCCTTTCTTCATGTGTTCAATACTTTTTCCCTGTGCCATTCCACATTATTACAAATATCTTCAATTCTGGACATTTATGGTTTGATTTCTTTGTATGTATGGATCACTTGGGTTGTTACCAACTTCTGGTGAAAATTTCATGTCATTAGCACCTCTAGTAATATATTTACTGAGAAAAATGGTGACGTGTTCAATACTTATTTTGCCCGCTGTAATTGGCCCCTCTATGAGTATTGTGGCCCCTTGATGGCCCTTTACTCAGAAAAATCCTAGATCCGCCACTGCAGCCAGTATTTTACTTGCTGTAGAAATCACTCAAAGCTTTATCAGTTTTAATGATTTGAGTGAAACTACCCATTGGATGTACATCATGAGTAAACCTTTGTAGCAATTCATGATGGAACTGGTTAGATGTTGTCAGTAGTTTTTAAGATAAAACACCTGCCTTTTTTTAGTTTAAATGTACTTTTTTACTCCATATACTCAAGGAGAAGTGGGCGTAGAGTTTAACATAAACCATGTGTCCAACAATAAAAACTGCTGCTTTGCCACTAGTAAATTTGTAGACTGGTACAAATCCACTGTGAAATGCTGACAGCTGGTTATTTCCCTTCATCATCTGTTAAAGCAGAGTTTCTATAGACCTCAGAGGAGTCGACGTTTTAAAAAAAGGGGCATAAGGTGCCTGGCCTGCTTCTTTGGCCCTGCTGTACACCGTCTGATGGACAATTTCATATCTTGTACGTTTTTTTTCCCTGCACTCAGCAGAGTTTTTAAAGAGCAGATAGCTTCAGTTTAATGGAGTTCAGAGGAGATGAAGTCTCTCAGCTATTCTTAGAACGACCCCGTCCTCTTGTCTGCGCCTTCTTTATTCCCTCCATCATTTCTTCCGTTCACATCTTCTTAACCCTTCCTCGTTTTTGTTTCCTCTGCCTCCCTGTTTCCCCTTCAAACCTCCTCCTCTTCTTCTTTAACCTCTCATGTTCGCGGCTTTTTTTTTCTCTTTCCTCTCTCCTGCAGAAACTTTTCGAAATTGGGAGTTCGGGTTTGTGAACTCCGTTCAACCTCGCCTCCAAAATATGCATGGCAGCATGCAAACCCAAAGTTTCCCTCCGAGTTCCACACACACTCTTGCATTGCCTAGGAAATAATGAGTGTGTGTGTTTCACGTTCGCAGACAGTTGACAAGCTTCGAGAGCATCTCAACAAGCATCTGCCTCGACTGGGGAAGAAGAAGATCGACTCACTGGTTGTCAACTATGTAGCTAAACTGGTTGGTACTGTGTGTGTGTGTGTGTGTGTGTGTGTGTGTGTGTGTGTGTGTGTGTGTGTGTGTGTGTGTGTGTGTGT